GGTAAAAGCCCTTGTGATGGTGTTGGTGGAACAGTGAAACGTCTTGTTGCACGAGCCAGTTTACAATCACTAAACGATCCTATTGACACACCAAGCAAAATGTACAGCTGGTGTGTTCAACATGTCAAAGGAATATCTTTTTTTTTTGTTGACAAAGTTTCAATAGAAACACATACTACAAACTTTAATTTGGAAGAGAGATATCGTTCTTGTTCTACAATACCTGGGACACGAAACCACCACAGTTTTATCCCAATGTCACTTACCTCAATAAAAATAAGAAGAGTCTCATTTGATATTATTTGCACTAATGTGGATTTTTCTACTTGCAGAATTTTTATTAATAAAATTTCAAGTTACTCACCAGGAGAATATGTGGCCTGCGTTTACGATGCTCAATGGTATTTAGGAAATATTCTTAGTATATCAGAAGAGCATCAAGATCTTAATATGAAATTCATGAAAAAGTCTTTATGTAACAAGTTCACGTGGCCATGCAGAGATGATCTTTGTTGGGTACCTCTGATGCATATTTTATGCAAAGTGCAATCTCTTAAAGTCCAGTCAAACAGTGGAAGATTTTATAGTATTGACTTAAAAGAAATCAATGAGATTATTTTATTATTTGAGAAATTTAACTTTTTGTAAATTTTATTAATTTTGTTTATTTTCTTAAAAACATTTTGTTTGTTTTTCATTAAAAAAAATATTGTATTATGAAGAGGGGAGGGGACAGAGGGGAGGGGACTTTATCTATTGGGATTTAAAAGTTCTTTATCTAAAGGGATTATAAGGCTATAAACATTGATATTTTTAAATTGATATTTCATAATAAATAACATTATATAATTCAATGCATTTATTTATTATGTCAATTTCAGAATTTTATGGAAAATTTACCTGACTTTTAGAGACTACCTTTTGGGGTTATAAATAAGCGCCCATTAATTTTTTTGGTTTTTATTAATTAACACTCTTTAATTGATGCGTATAAAAAATTTTATGAAAAAAAAAAAGTGTCATCTTAGGTAACAGATGCTTTGCATCACAGATCAATTTTACAAAAATCTCGATCTGACTCATTTTGGAGACCTATAACTTTTAAATGCAGCTCTTTAATCAACTGATTTTTTTAAAAATGTTTATCCACCACATGTAGATTAGCAAGCAATTTGATTTTTATTAATCTTTTAACTAGTTTTTAAGATAAAGATCATTAAAATCACAAAAAAAACTATTTTAAAAACAAAAATCTCAACTTTAGTTCGCCATTATGGAAAAAGTTAAGATGCCAGAATTGAAATTTTTTTCTTTTTCCAAAGTATTTACAGCACACTTGCTATCTTATAATAACTGAAGTATAAAACTAAATTGTTCAAAAGTTATTGGCTGTTAAAAATGATGAAAAAAACCTTTTTTCTTGTAGAGTGAAATTTTAGGCATAATAGCCCACTACTTAAAAAGCGTTTTCTCAAGAACCATATTATATATTGATCTAAAATTTTCAAAACATGCTTTTCACATATATATGTACAAAATCAAAAAATTTCAATA